GCTGGTGAGCAAGGCCTCCGTCTGGTGGGTTTTCAGGTGGTCAGCCGGAAGTTATTCTCCGCCCTATCAGAACCCATCCTGATGGCACACGACCCAAGGATGGTCGTGCCGACTTCCTTGAGGTAGTACTTAGCAATGTGCGTAGCCTAAGAAACAAGGTGCACTTGTAGACAAATCTCGTCCCGACATACTTGATTCCACTGAAACGTGGTTGTCTCCGGATATCACGGATGGTGAGGTATGTTTACTTGGCTACGCGCTGCTTAGAACTGATCGCTCCGTTGGTCGCCAAGGCGGAGGCGTTGTACTGTATGTGAGCTGTAACTTAGATGTGTTGAGAACCTGCACATTCCAGTCGTCGGATCAGACTGTTGAAGCCCTATCGGTTGTTTTGTGCACTTCCTCTGCCCAGTTTACGGTTATAGTGATATACAGAAGTCCTGGAAGTTCTTCCAGGGGGATACTTGACTTTATTCGCACTCAGTCTGCGAATAAGTGTTTAGTTCTAGGGGATTTCAACCTCCCGGAAGTCTGTTGGGCTGATCTTTCTTGCAATTCGGCATTAGGAACATTCGGTGCAGACTTCTTGAACTGACTCTGCAGGTGCCTTTGCACCAGTTCCTGGCCTTTCCCACTAGGTATATGGACAATCAAATGCCATCTACTTTGGATTTGGTTTTCGCTAAGTCCCTGGACTTCGTGACTGACGTTTCATACGGTGCACCTCTAGGGTCCAGCGATCACGCATGCATATTCCTTCGGTGTGCTCTTTCAAGGCACCAAGAGACCGCTGTTGAATTACTTCCGAGTATTTGGCGGGCGGACTTTAGTGCAATGCGAACTAAGGCTCAGTTCTGAACTGTGAGATCTCGATGGCTGACTCTGTCCAGTTAATCTGGGATACATTTAAGCCATACCTTACGGAGGTTTCCACTCCCTATATTCCACTCATGAGGAAAAGAGGGTTACGGGCACAGTCTCCATGAATAGATACCACAGGTAAGTACCTACTCAAGAAACGGTCTAGATGCTGGCGAACCTACCAAGCAGCTCCATCAGCTAGCACCTATGATAGTTATCGAGAGATTAGAAATAAATGTAAGCAACATCTCAGGACTGTTCGTCTCCAGTACGAGCAGGGTTTAGCGGACTCGGCCGCAGCTAATCCCAAGAAGTTTTTTGCTTACGTTAAAAGACGCAGCGGGACAAAACTGTCTATACCAGGTTTACTGTGAGCAGATGGGACCCGTGCACAAACTGACTATGATAAGGCTTGTATACTTAGTGATCAGTATGCTGGGTCTTTGCTCAGGAGACATCTTTACCAGAGGTTGAATTGGTTTCAAGAGTTCCAGAGGATTCTTGCTTAGCTGAATTTAGCATAACGGAGACTCAGGTCTTCGAGCTACTGCAAGGCATTAATCTCTCTAAAGCTTCCGGTCCTGATTCAATTCATCCGAAGCTGTTGCATGAATTGGCCACTGAGCTGAGTGGTCCTCTCACATGCGTGTTTTCAATATCGCTGGACAGCTGCAGCCTATCTTCGGAATGGAAGGAGGCAATCATCTGTCCGATTTTTAAGGGCGGTGACAGCGCTCTACCCGCAAACTACCGGCCTGTCAGTTTGGCAAGCGTAGTAGTCAAGTTGTTTGAAAAGCTGATAAGGGATTCAGTGAAGAACCACCTGAATCGATTCAACCTTCTCAGTGTTGCGCAACATGGATTCCGCAAAGGATTTTCATGTAAGACTAATCTACTTGTAGCTCGTGAAAGCTGAGCCGAAGCGGTAGACAGTGGCCACGCTGTAGACGTGCTATTCGTAGATTTTTCGAAAGATTTTGACACTGTTCCACCTCTTCGGTTCTCACTAAAGTTGAGATCTTACGGGATATCGGGTCGCGCCCTTTAATGTCTGTCTTCCTTGAGGGGAGGGAACAGTGCGTATGAGTGTGGCGTAGCGTTTCGCTCAGGCAAGCTGTCCTTAGTGGCGTTCCGCAGGGCTCGGTATTGGGGCCATTGTTGTTCGCGATCTATGTAAATGACTTGCCGGGACAGCTAGGGGTGTCATCACTAATGTTTGCTGACGACCGTAAGCTCTGGAATATTGTGGATATCCCGGGGGGTCCTGAGGCAATTCAGCATGCCTTGGATACGCTCTGGGAATGGTCTACCTTATGGTTGCTGCCTATAAATAGGGCCAAGTGCTCTGTTCTCCAAATCGGAGCTGCAAATCCTTCCACCCGATGTTGTCGGCGGTGGTGAACTCCCTGTTGTCACTCAGCAGGTTGATTTAGGAGTCGTACACGCATCAGCACTTCATTCTGGAGACAACTGGAAGAAGGCTGCTTGTCGAGGGTTTCGTATGATGTGGTTTATCCGCCGCTCTTTCGGAATCTTAACGGCCAGTTTGTTTGTGAAGCTATTTTCGGCATTCGTCCGACCCCACCTGGAATATTGTATTCAGGCTTGTCCACAATATCTTAACCGAGACAGAATGGACTTGGAGAGGGTGTTACGAGTGGGCACTCGGTTAGTGCATGGTCTACGGGGACAGACGTATCCTGAACGCTTGCTCAGTTTGGGGATGTACTCAATGCACTACCGAAGGATAAGAGGGGACCTGATTCTCACTTATCGTATTTTGACGGGTAAGGTTGGCCCGGATTTGTCAGGGCTATTTATCCCGCTACGTTAACTAATCTCTGCGGTCACCCACTGAAACTGCATAAACCACGGTCTGATAGGATTAGGATGGAAACTCGTCTGTCGCGCCGAGTTATAGATCGCTGGAATTCGCTTCCAGATCACGTGGTTAGAGAACTTACGGTTAACGGTTTTGCGCACCAGCACGATGCTCTTGGGTGGCAACAGCAAACTTTGCCTTTTTCCTAGCTGACTCACCTTCACTTTTCAGTCTTTTTTTAATGACTCAAATATTTTGGTATTCCAATTGTTTAGCTCTTTCCACTTTCTCTTTTGCCCTCTGAGTTTACTTTTTTCTCTCTCACTTCACGTAACCGGCCCAGCAGGGACTGCTAGGTCAGGATACGTGGGCATTAATTGGTTGGACAGGGTGTGATGCGGTCTTTGTTTTAGGTCCATCAGTATTTCAAAGTTCGCCAACGCCTGGTTCAACGACCCGCCGAAGAAGGAACACTCACGGGGTCATCCTATCATTCCAGTCCCGCTTGAGCTTGTACTTGACCGATTGACTGACTCCAGTGAATGGATCGACCGCAATGTTGTCGTCTATTTCAGTGTCTTCAAACGAAATACTCAGGGATTTTAAAATCAAATCCATCTTCCTGTCGAGCGACGTAATAGAAGCGAGTTTAGCTATCGCCAACTCAACATCTGCCAACGTTGAAGTCAGCGCTGAAATTTTAGCCCTGGTGATAGCGGGGCGCGTCGATGTCTGAGCGCAGCATTCAGCAGAGATGAAACGGAAGTGAACGCTTGATAATAGCATTTTGTACTGGTCAGCTTGTAGACCGGTACAGCTTTCGTGATACCAGTGGCAGCAGGCGTCACACTGCATGCCGCCAGATAAATCTGTTACTGGCTCTGAACAGTTAACCTGTCGGCAAGCTGCAGTAGACTCATCAAACGAGGACCCCATAGGTTCATCCGTCTCGGCGTTTAGCGAGACAGCAATGTTTATGTGGAAAACAGAGTAGAATTGCAACACGTATACAATAGGAAAAGGACCGCAATGAAAAGGCAAAACAGGGTGCAAAACGGGATTAAAACTGGGAACAACCGGAAAAATTACCAGTAAGCGCCAAAGACGCTTTGGCCAGTACCACTTTAATCGATCCAACATATCTTGGATCAGAGAAAATTTGACAATAGTCAAATTTCGTTTCAAGTATTTATTCAAACACTGTTTTCCACGTTATTTCAGCTGAAAAGCTCGATCAGTATGGCACGCCAAAAATCGAGTTACCGCGTAGTACTCACACCAGCTACTCACCCCACCTACTCACACTTCACCAATCATGCTCCTGCCTACGCATCCACCCGCAGAGGCTCAAACATCAGCACAGTCGGCTGAACTGCAGACAACACTTCTTCGCTTTGCGCATTTGTTGACTACGGAATGCTCTGTCTGAGGACAGTCTCGGAACCTATTGTGGCTGATATTAAGTCCCACCTAAACTGTTATCTGGCCGATCTACACTTGACGGATTTTCTTTTTTTCTTTCTTCTCTTCTACCTAATTCCTTTCCATAACTATTTCGGAAGGCGTGGTGGGATGTCACGCTTTTAGCTGACGTGCATTCTGTTTAAATGTTGCATAAGCCCGATGAAGATACGGCTAACACGCGAGTGCAACCCGCTATCAGGTTGTTTGACCTTTCATCAGACCGGACCCTAACTTCTTTTTACCTTATGCGTCATGTAAAGCTCGAGCTTTTATTCCCATTAAATGCATTGTTCTAATGCTTATCAGCACCTTTCACATATCCCATATGCCGCCATAAAGTATGCAAAGTTTCCATTTCAAACAAACGGCAGGTTTCCAAAACGGCTGTGTCTGTCGCTGGAATGCATAGGGTTCCGGGGAATCTCAGCATCGTGCTTACTTGCTGTAGTTTGTCTCCAATAATTACTTTTACGTAAACATTTTCTTGTTGCATTTGTATATGCTGTTTGTTATTTATACTGACAATGGATTCCTTTTAAGGTGCCATGAACGCCGGGTTACTGCTTCGAGCGGATAGAGGAAATGGAATTCACAGAAAAACTATTCGCAGCACTTGGCTGCTTAGACGGGCGGCATGCGGTCATCGTCTAGGTGTTCGCGCATGATACTACAATGCTGTTCATCAACATCAGAGACCGCAACCTCTTGATGCGTGGCCAAACGTAGAGGTAGTCAGGCGAACAGGTAAGTAAACGATATATTCATTGTCACAGGAAATTTTGAGTGTGCCTTTTTGAGTCTACATGGCTTGGATGATGGCACACAAACGGAGGACTCCGACGGTACCGTCTTCATGGGTTCGCCACCTAAACGCTCACTGTAAAGCACCAATCATTCCGATTGCTCATCTTCACTTTCAGACGCGCGCCAAAGCGTTTGACAAATGAACACCACATCGTATCCGCAAACCGACTAGTTAAGCCATACGCCGTTGACTACGGCGAGCCACCGTAACAGTTTGCTGTGGCTGCTCAGCACAACATATCCTTTAGGTAGTTCCATTGCGCAGGTTACACAACCTAGTGTACAGATAACAGGTTTGTGATGGTCACGCAGGTTCACCACGCTCACTCCTTACAGACCTTTGGCAAGCGCCTTCCACATCTCAAAGATGCAGCCATACATCCGCAGGTACACGAGACCTCATGCCTCACTTATCTTTGCGCAGAAAATAGAAACGCGGTGTCCGCGGCATCAAGTGCACATGCTGATGAAAACCGTACACTTTTATTGTGCACATTGATAACTGGTAACTCTTTTCAGAAGCAATCGAACAATTGAAGATGGAATTGGCGGACCTGAATCGCAACCTGCAAACGCTTATGGGTATAATATTACTGTAAATTCTTCCTAGGCTTACAGAATCATGCCATCAAATGTGCTTTCGTACGCTCTCCACTTCCGTGCATGAATTGTGAGACAGGCATGTACGCTTCCACTGCCTGTTACCACGGTGGATGATCTTCTATATTTTGATGCACACCTGACAGATCCGAGTGTTAATTGACAACTAGTAAGTGTTACCAGTTATGCTGGCATAACCACAGACTGACTTACTACTCGGTATTTTTGCCAACTGTTTGCACGGCGTAGCTTATCGCATGATGCAGACTCATGACCCGACAGGTAGCGGGTAATATAAACTACTCCGGCGCACACGTGCGCTTTCAAGAAATTGCGCATGTACCCTGTGCTGCTGTAATAATTTGTGGTTATTAATCTCCGCTGTTGCACAGGTGTCTTGATACAACTTTTTGGATCATGTAGTGTCACACCGACAGACGTGTGTGAGCTGCTGCGCAAATATTTACGTAATATACGTACAGACTTCCCCAGACGATCACCTGAGAGCTGCCACAGTGGAATGTCTGAGGTATCATGAACTTTTACGTTTAATATACCGCCATGCGTATAGAGTCCAGGAAAAACACAATACAAGGAAATCAGAGTGATCTGTGTAAAGTGTCTGTATAAAGCCCTTTCTCATAATACAGCCTATAGCATGGGACACAATATTTTCCCGTAAGTTGCCTTTGCTCCTTTCCGCAGTGGCGATCGCATGCTGGCTGTATATGGTCCCCATGTTCGATGAGACGTAAGAGTCACATACCAGGTAGCATCGTTTCATTCACGTTATAGCGGTTCTCCGATGGGGCATTGTGCGGCCTTCAATTGACGTTCTGGTACCATTACAAGGGGTAGCGATTCAAGTGAAGGACTCATCACGTCTCCGTAGCGGAATGCTTATGCGGCCATTTTTGCTGAACCACTGCACGCATGCCTTATGATCCTGGGGTGCGGGTTCGAGTTACCGCTCCGGATTGGACTAGACTGGATCAGACGCAGCACAATACTACGGCCCTGGAGAATTCCTTGCAGTTTGGAGGTTAACAGCCATTTAAGACTTTCCTCAGCTTGTGTATTGACAACAGGTTCCCGTAGACTGTTCTAATCATGTATTACTTTCTCTCTGTAGCAAGTACCTTAACGGATAAGGCGGCAGCGGAGTGTATTTTGAGCCTCCTTGCAGTCTTAAATAGTTGTGCTTCCCAAGTTAAAATGGAAAATCTGTTATGCTTCGTTCACTAGTTCATTTTTTATTGTGCGTTTAGTAAAGTAGTCTCCAAGATAGTATTCTAGAGAAGAGCTTCTTCTGAAGTCTAAGCTTGTAGGAGAGGTGGAGGTCCAAAAAGGAAGTCTCGCAGCTGGTAAACCCTAAGCAAGAATCGGCCGCATGTGGGATACGAACAGGAGCATGCAGATATACGCTGATAGTTCCACGCAGTATCATGCTTGGATGCTATTTAAGCGGAGAGGGCTCTAAGTCCCCTATCTCGCCTTTTTGCTCGTATGGTGAATGATAAATATACTGCCGGAGCCAGTCATCAATACACATACCCTTGTTTCAACTGTCATTAGACAGTTGTCTGTTGCGAAATTAAGTATTCTACTGTATTCATTGCGATCGTTTCCCAATGACTTACACCATCTCTGCACAAAGTGGTAAACAACCAAACTGATATGAATATCGGTTCTGATTTCTAAATCCCTATGGGACAGTATTGCAGTTCGTATGCATTGACGGTGATTGTTGGTAGGTTGTACGGCCACTATCCTGGCGTTGTGAATGTAACCGTTTTCTTGGTGTGTTATCTACAAGACCATTTTCGAGAAGCTAGTCTTCGGGCAAGTTCTCCTAAGAACAATTAATCATATCAACGAATAGAGTGTTTTATAGAATCCTTCATCTTGGCTCCATAAAGCTGCGCGCTTGTCGGCGCTGCATTGATTCCTTCACGGGATTCTGGATCGTGATCAGTCCTAATTGGGGGGCAGTTTGCAGATAGCTGTTGGTGTTAGCCAAGCTCCGTAAGCGCGTCCGTCGGCGCCAATCGAAAGTGGACGCTGTTAGGAGGACTGCCTCCAAACGAATTCATTCCCTCTGTTAACACTTATGTTCATTAATTACAACTATATTTTCCTCCATTTCATCTTGTCACTTATCCTATCCTGGACTATGGCACCCTTTCCTTTCCACTGTACTACGTTCAACCTTTCCAGACTTTCCTACCCGGAGATACCTCTTCTATCAGTGCTTGTTTGTCTTGTCACCTTCGGTGTGTTGACATTGTGTTTGATTGAAAGAAACCAAGAATACAACAAGCACTCAGAAAGATAACACTCACCGCCCCATCGTTGAACCTACCAGAAGATCGCGGAACAGTTACCGAAATGCAGGTGCATAGAGGAGTTTGCATACGACTGCGGACACAGCCGACAGTGTTAATCTCAAATATGTTACTTCGTAATGCTAGCGTTCATTTTGCTGCTACTTGTCGTATTTGGTTTTCTATGTCAAATACGTTGGGATCCTAGTTGATACGGTGACTACATACTCTCTTGTTCATGGGTATATGGTTCCAACGGACCCCTTCATACACCTTGATGGTTCGATCAATCTTGCAACAGCTGGTGGCACTATGTCATTCGTCGGCTTTCCTTGAAACCTTATACTAAAGGCGTTATGGGTTCCTAGAATAGCATCGTTTAATGAACGATTTGATAACATCCGTAGTCTTATTTGACGCCGAACAGATATGCTGTCTCTCTTGCGGACTAGATAGCCGCTGTCGAAAATTGCTTAATTATGAACAAAGGCAGGCTAAATCAGACTACCTCGATGAGATGAGTTTGATTTCACCACGTTGTATTTCGCTTTTCTAATTTATACTCGCGCCAGGCGCTCGCTGTTCCTCTGATTCTTTCCTAATGCATGCTTACTTGACCATGGCTGGCGCACGCTCCTAATTTGTGCTGCATTCTTAATAGGCGGCACCCAATTACCTACACAGTATTTGTTCAACCTTTCAGATCTGGTGCAATCCGATCTACATTCTGCAATGGAACAGTCCGCCCGATTGTATACTACAATGGACTCCGGTTCTGCTTTTTGCTCTCTTGTAGACGATACTCAAAAGTTTCGCGGATGTTTGCACTCTCGTTACAAAAATTTCGAAGAGTTCCTGCAGAATTTCCAATCATTTCAACGAGAAAGCTGCACTTCATTTTACCTGTACAGTTCGACGACGGCCAAGACTACGCCACCGTAAGAAACGTCTAGCTGCCGGTTTCCTGTACTACTGCAAAGTTTGCTTGTGTACAGAGTCGGAGAAAAAAGAGAGCAGCGTCATCGCAACTGCTTTGTAGTTGTGAATACCGCAATTAAGATTGCAAAGCTTTTGTGTCTGTGCGCGTAGTCAACGGTGCCTACGAGATAGTGGCTAATAATTTGGTGCACTCTCATTCATTCCACGTTGGCAAACCGTGACTGTATGTTCGCAACCAGCAGAAGAACAGGAGCTGTATGCTTTGATGGGGTGCTTTAATAAGGCCCGAGAAATCAGATATTATGCGTTCGCTCGATTCCACAAAGAGCTGAAACATATTGACATTCACTCCATT